CCGCCCCCGCCCCGGCGGCTCCGTGGCCCCCGCTACCTGCTTCCCGTCCACCTCGATGTCGGCGATGTAGTTCTCAAAGACGGTGGGCACGTAGACCTCGGGGAACTGGTCCTTGCTGAAGACGATGAGCAGGCAGGTCTTGCCGCAGGCGCCGTCGCCCACGATCACCAGCTTCTTCCGGATGGCTGCCATGGCTGCAAGGCCGCGCTCCCGGCTGCTGCCCCGGACAACACGGGATGCGCAGGACAGCGGATTGCAGCCCTGCAGCCACCAACTCCCTCCTGCCCCAGGGCTTTGCAGCCCCACAGTGAGCCAGAGTTTTTATGACCCTGCTGTCCTCCCCCCAGACCGGTTTGGTTTCAGGTTGTAAATCGCTTGGGGCTGCCCCATTGCACTCCAGGCTCCTAAATGATCCCATCAGCTCCGAGGCTGGTTCCACCCGACCCTTCTGAACGACGCCAGCATTCCAGGCCCTGGCGGGTCATGAGCTGGCAGCCTTTTAGGGGCCTAACTTGAGCTTTCTTGTGCCTGCTCAAAGGAGCAAAGCCTCAACAGGCAGCCAAGGCACTACAAGATGCAGCAGAATTGCTCTCACTCCTTTCCCAAGCAGCTACTCTAAAGTCATTGCAGTAAAAATAGCAGGGCCTCAACATGGCCATCGCAGTCTGAGTCGCTCTGAGCTTCATGACTCAAGATATGAAGTTGTTTCTGGGTGGGAAAGGGGAATTCCTCTGGAAACAGGATGTATCTCTCATCCCATTCCTGTTATGGCATCTCAGGAAATGGCAGAGAAGGATGTTAACACTTCCAGAGGGATCAAAACCAGGATGGGAACTGCCGCGTGGTGCCTCAGGGAGCAGCGGATCTGGGCCCTGTGTGCCCCAGCCTCCTCCCGTGCCCTGCAAGGCCAAGGATCCCCTGCCTCCCGCTTGCCGTCGGCTTCCAAAATTACCAGGCGCGCAGCACCGGGGATGAGCAAAGCGCCTTTATATATCTCCTGGGAAAGCTGCCCAGAGCTGCTGCCTCGGGCCAGCCACATCCGAAGGACCAGGAACGAGCAGAACGGACCTCAGGCTCAACGTGGAGCTCGCAAACCACGCGGCAGCACAAAGGGGCACGACTGGACAGTGGCACAAAGTGGCACAAAGCAGGACAGTCCCGACTCGGGCGGGGACAAGAGCAAATCCCTGCCCCACACTGGCTTTGCAAGTGCCCGGAGATCCTACACCTTAGGCAAACACTGCTGGCAGCAAGGAGTCTCCTCACAAGTAATTTATGTGTCTTTTGTGTTGGGGCATCCAAAAACATGGGCAAGGCTTTAACGCCATCACCCCACAGCAACCAGCGCTGGCTGCTACACTCCTCGCTTCCCAGCAATCCTCCTCTCCACTGCAAATAGCAAGTTACGAGGTAAACCTGGTTCACTGCTCCCTATAACCTGTTGGGAGAGGGTGGCTTCTATTTTTAAGTGGAAAATAAGCAAAAAGCATCTGCCAACATGAGGATGCAATGAGACCTCACACAGCCTCCAACGACACTCCTCGCAGCTCAGAGCTGCACACAAAAGGAAACTGCTGGGCCGCCAGAGACACTTGGAAAACAGAAAACAAAACGCGACTGGTAGCAGTGCCAGACAGCCGAGCACAGCGAGTCCATCGGCTTCCGGCCTCGGCTCCGCGGCCCGAGCGGGCGCTTGGCCGTGGGAAGCC